AGCGCCGGAGAGAGACGGGCGCACGGCAGCGGAGAGGCGCGGAAAGTGAGAGCCCCGGCGCGCACTTCTAGGGGTGGGGAGGGGGAGGAGAAGCCATCCCAGGCACAGCAGCTACGCCCTCCTCCCGCTCAGGATAAAACACAGTCTGTGCAAGGAAAAAAAAAATAATAACAAAAAACCAACCCAAACCAAAAGCCAACCAACGACAGCAGCTACGCCCTCCTCCCGCTCAGGATAAAACACAGTCTGTGCAAGGAAAAAAAAAATAATAACAAAAAACCAACCCAAACCAAAAGCCAACCAAAAAAAAAAACCAAAAAACAACAACCAACAACCTATACATCTATCTCAAAACAATCTATATAGAGCTGCAGGACAGGAATGAGAGATCACAGACCAAGTGCACACGTCTGCGCATAAAGATAGAGAAAGCCACAGAGCCGGGTTCAGACAACGCCTCCAGCAGGAAAAGGGAAATCAACAACCCCCCCTGACAGTCTGAGAGAGCGGCAGCCAAACTCATGCACATCTCTGGCGGTGCCACGGACTGAGAGAGGCAGACAGACAGACAGAGTTCACTCTTCCGCTCTGGGCATTGCTCGCATTCTTCTCGTCCTCTCGTATCGTGTGCGGTTTTAAACTTCGCCGCCGACCGGCTTTTCTGCGGGGACCATCCGCGAGTTCTGGGGAACTTTGTTTGGGTTTTTTGTTTGTCGTTTTGTGGGTTTTGTTGTGGTTGGTTTTTGTTGTTTTGGTTGTGTTTTTTTTTTTAATGAACTACTGAACCAGCAATTTTCTCGCTGCTCGGGGGGGTGGGCGCCTGAGCGCAGCGGCAGCGCAGACCTCCCTGCCCCCACCGCCGCCCAAAACTTCGCGCTCCGGGAGCCCGCGGGGCTCTGCCCGCCGCTCCGGCACCGCCTGCTCCCTGCCGGGGAATCGCTGGGCTTCGCTCCTTTGTGCTCCGTCCTCCTCCCCGGTTTTGTTTTTTTTAATTGCTCCCACTGGAGCTCCGCTGCCGCCTTCTTCCCGGAGGGGGTGGGGGTCTGCGATTTGGCTGGTGCCCTCCGCAAAGCTGCAGCCACCGCTAAAGCATTGGATCCCTCAACGTACTGCGAGAGCCCGGTGTACAGCCCGGACCTGTGCCCCAACATGATCGCCGCGCAGGCCAAGCTGGTCTACCAGCTCAACAAATACTACACGGAGCGCTGCCAGGCCCGCAAGGCGGCCATCGCCAAGACCATCCGGGAGGTGTGCAAGGTCGTCTCGGACGTGCTGAAGGAGGTGGAGGTGCAGGAGCCGCGCTTCATCAGCTCCTTAAGCGAGATCGACGCCCGCTACGAGGGGCTGGAGGTGATCTCGCCCACCGAGTTTGAGGTGGTACTCTACCTCAACCAGATGGGCGTCTTCAACTTCGTGGACGACGGCTCCCTGCCGGGCTGCGCCGTGCTCAAGCTGAGCGACGGCCGCAAGCGCAGCATGTCCCTCTGGGTGGAGTTCATCACCGCCTCGGGCTATCTGTCCGCCCGCAAGATCCGCTCCCGCTTCCAGACACTGGTGGCCCAGGCCGTGGACAAGTGCAGCTACCGGGACGTTGTGAAGATGATCGCGGACACCAGCGAGGTGAAGCTCCGCATCCGGGAGCGGTACGTGGTGCAGATCACGCCCGCCTTCAAGTGCACCGGGATCTGGCCGCGCAGCGCGGCGCAGTGGCCCATGCCCCACATCCCCTGGCCCGGCCCCAACCGGGTGGCAGAGGTGAAGGCGGAGGGCTTCAACCTGCTGTCCAAGGAGTGCTACTCGCTGACGGGCAAGCAGAGCTCGGCCGAGAGCGATGCCTGGGTGCTGCAGTTCGGTGAGGCCGAGAACCGGCTGCTGATGGGCGGCTGCAGGAACAAGTGCCTCTCGGTGCTGAAGACGCTGCGCGACCGGCACCTGGAACTGCCTGGGCAGCCCCTCAACAACTACCACATGAAGACGCTGCTGCTGTACGAGTGCGAGAAGCACCCGCGGGAGACCGACTGGGACGAGGCGTGCCTGGGCGACCGGCTGAACGGCATCCTCCTGCAGCTCATCTCCTGCCTGCAGTGCCGGCGCTGCCCCCACTACTTCCTGCCCAACCTAGATCTCTTTCAGGGCAAACCCCACTCGGCCCTGGAAAGCGCTGCCAAACAGACCTGGAGGCTAGCCAGAGAAATCCTCACCAATCCCAAAAGCCTCGACAAGCTATAGGGTTAACAGCCCCGCGCAAAAAAAACCCAACAACAACAACAACAAAAAAAACCAAACTCGTCCTCCGTAAACAACAACAGCGCCTAAAAAAACTTTTTATTTAACGCAAACGACGACGGAAAGAGGCGGCGAAATAAACGCGCCCCCGCCACCCCCCACCCACCTGCAGCTCGGCCTTTAAAAACTTGCAGACGGTTTTCCCGGTATAAACTCTCACCGCCTTGCACAGAAGAAGGAAAGAGTCTCTCCTCCTGCCCTCCAATGTGAATTTTTAAAAAGTCACAAAAAGAGAAGCAATCGGACTTTTGCAACCTCAAAACGAAACCCAAAAGGTACATTTTCCAATCCATGTATAGTCCTTTTCTTACTCTCTCTTGTTTGCCTGAATGTTGTCACCAAGTGAAAAATTATTTAACTATATGTACAAATCTCCCTTTAAAAAAGTTTTACTGATGTTAAATGTATTTCGGTGCCAAGGTCAGATAATGTGCCCCACAACTGACTTGTTGCAAATAGTAATAAAAATATTACTTTAACTTTACTATGACTTTCGGTGAATGATTCTTAAATTCAGGCAAGTAGATTCTTTCTGAACCTCAGAAGTAAATTTTTAAAAAGAAACGGAAACACGAGATACAATCTAAATGCGACACCTCAGCTTGGCATATTCATTGACATTTTCTAAACTTCCCTCCAGTTTCTATCCAAGATCGCGCATCTAGGAACAAAACCCCCCCAAAAAATCAACCCCAAACCTTATATACTCCGTACTTCAGCGTGTGACAACATCTGCTGTATTTCTAGGACTTTAAGCTTTCCCTCTAAGTCTTGGGAACACACGGAGCGCGGCGCAGCAGCCTGAGTTTAGCCAGAATTAGAGCGTGCCGGTTCCTACCACACTCTCGCCCTCTTATTTTTTTTTTCCTTATGGCTTAATCTGTTTTGTTTTGTTTTCTTTTGTTACCCCCCTTCCCCGCCCCCCCCGGTAAATTTCCAGCTTTCATACTCTGATTTTCATATTCATCGCTATTCGCTTTCGCTTCCCAGAGCGAACGCGTTACCCGTTTGACTTTGCCACGAAGGCTCTATAGATCTACCCTGAATAATTAATGCGCTTTAGAGCAACCGGTCGATTTTTTTTTTTAACAAACATTTGTTTTCCCCGGATTTTTAAGTACAGCAGAAAATCGCCCCGTAGCGTAGCCAGACGAGCAGATAAGCAACCCCTAAGGAAAAGAAACCACCCGATCCCACATGAACTTCCAGTCGCTCCCTGGGCAGACACCGCCGATCCCTCCCTACCCGAGCCCCCTCTCCTCAAGCTAAATTCTACTCGATTCCTTGGAACTCGCGCTACAGCAATTTCGTTCTCAGTTTGCTCAGGACGATTTAGGAATATTTGCGGGATTTTTATCCGGAACGCACTTCTAAGCTTTACAAACGTTAGCGTTATCTGCTCGAGCCGCCCAAAAGATTTCAAAGCTGGGAGCATTTCCATCAAGTTTTCGTGTCCTTTCGGCAGGGGGGCGGTAAAAATCTAAGTTTATGGTGATTTTTTTTTCCCAAAGGGCTATTTTCCGTTTCTTTGTGAACGGATCCGGAAAAAAAAATAACCTTTCAAATTTGAGTTGCTTTTGCCTTTACCAAACGAAACGAGCGAGCCCGGCAGCCGCCGGGACGAGGGGTTTGGACGGGCGCTTCCCGCGGAGCCCGGCGGGCCCGGGGCGCGCACCCTCCGCGCTGCCCGGGTTTCTGGCAGAGTCCTCAGAGCCACTTTCCCCCGCGCAGATCCCGGCTCACCTGGCAAAATAGGTGCAGCCCGCGGGGCTCTGCCCTTCTGAAAACAGCCCGGGGGAAAAGTATAAACTCTGATCTTATCGCGGCTGATGCTATCACTACGGCAGGTTTTTCTTCAGGAACTTGTCATAATGTTTTCTTTTCGGTAGTTTAGACAAATATACAAGGAACTTAAATTTCGACAACAGATGAAGCCTCATTAATTAAACAGGCCTTCCGAGCTACAGCGGATTAGGATTTTTTCCAAGGGGCATTTTCTACAGCAGCTCTAGTCACCTCTATCAAGGTACAGTAACTTAAGCAAAGGGTGGGGCAGGGAGGCGTTAATGCTTGAAAGCAAGCTGTGTTGTAAGCTTGTGTCTTAAAAATATACAGATATGATTTTTAGTCTCTCCCCATACTCACAAAAGGCATTATAAAAAGCCTTTTTGTTTCTAAGACCATCAGCTAAACCAGCATCACAAGTGGGATGTAAGAGGTGTGGGCTTCAAGATGCAGGATTTATTTCATGTAACCAGCTCCTCCTTTTATAGGAACCCAAATAAAATCTCTCAGATACAGAATTAAAGGTGTAGTCAAACCAAACCAGAATGCTCAGTCACAGTTACAAAAACACCCACTACCAACCAAATACTTGGAAAACAGGAAAAAAGAAAGCAAACTGAATATATGTTGTACGTTAATGTCCCAAACAAAACAGGTAACAGAAACGTCCTATGTGCTGAACATGGAAAACAAAAACAGAGAATAATGCAGATCTGTAAGACTTTTCTCATGCTAATGTAATACAAGGCAGAACATTTTAGATGGGAAATGCAATACCAAGCTGTCTTTTCATTTTCTATTTATATCCTCTTTACTATCATTAAAAAAACAACAACAAAAAAAAACCCAAGCAAAACACTACAGAAGGAGCAAGCAAATGAACATTTTAAGAGCCATCTCATACTTGAAATAATTGCAAAAATATTTCAAAAATACTTCAGGATGCAGTTAAATCACGTATGGTATCACAGGAAAATTACAGTTCTGGTTAATTGCTTACACAAAATTCTAATTCTAGGAATCTGAGAACAGTGTTGTTTGTTTTTTTTTAAATAAAACATTCCTTGATAGGATTTTATATTCGCAGCTTTCAGACCCACTGATGCCATTTTTTTAATACAGACAAAGGCAATTTACTCAACAGGAACAAAGAACTGAATTGGTGCTTAACACACAACTACTTCTTCCAGTGGCTTTTTTCCCCCTTCACAAAGAAGGGGAATAGTTTACTATTAAAGCAGATATTTAAAAAACACAAGACCCATCACTGTGCTTAAATTGGGATACAAGATTTACCAGTCATGTCATGCTTTTGAAATGTTGCTCTAACACTGTAGAAAACATTCAAGTGCAATCTTATTAAGCTAATCACACGATACACTGCCTTTGAAATAAGAGTTTTACTGAAGATCATTAATTTTAAACAAAACACTAGTAATCAAGTACCTTGGAGCAATTAAAGTTTGTAGAAATTAGAGAGTCAGTTCAGAAGCATATTTTAAGAGGGCAATTATGTTTTCTGCTTAGGCACGACAAGTAGCAGGCCTTTTAAAATCTGTTACAGAAGCACTGAAAAACTTAGGAGGGTAGGGAAGTTTAGTTACACTGGCATTATATAAAAATAGGAAAGTAAAACACAGCATTTGGGCTAAAAGCTTTGTTGAACTTTCCAGTATTCACACAGGCCTGTGATTCAAGATGTCTTTATTTAAGATGCCTCCCTGGAGCTTTATTCAAAGCCAGCTAATTAACATTCAAGGAGGGTCAAATTGTGGGAGAGGGAGAAAAAGGAGAAGGAAAGGAGGTGTCATCTACCTGAAGTTCAGTAATACATATGGTCAGTCACAAACTTATTAAAGCAGGAACACTGCGGACCAAGAAAGGTAAAGGAAGTCAAATGAAGAATTAAAGGTCTTGGGTAATCTGTCATCATCTCTCAGAGCTCAGGGTCAATGATCTCTTACCTTCGGGTCGATTTTCTTAAAACTGGGATCTTCTTCATCCACCTCAAAGTAG